TTAACACGTAAATATAAAACAAACGAATAGTTTAGATCACTTGGTAGCGCTTTTCTTTTGTTGTTCGTCTGAATTTTTATTTTTTTGGTTTTTTCGGGTTAAGTTTAATTCATCGAATCAACGGAACAGTTTGTTTCTTACACACAATCGATATAAAAATGTTTTTTCTGTATTCAGATGCTGCGCGATCGCTTTAAGAATTTATCACAATTCCATTTGTAGAACACACACATTTGCACACGTTGTGTTCATTACACTTTGTCACATTGGCTGTTTTTCTTTGTGTTTTTCTCTCGCTATTTTTTTTTCACATTGTTTTTGCGCGAATCGAATTTTTTTTATATGAAATCCTTTTTCAGTTGGTTTGACGATAACATAAAACACTCAATTCAATCACTTCGATACATACAATCAATGAATTTTCATAAAAACGGTTTGTTGATTGAATGACGGCTCCAATAATATAATGTATCTAATGATAAAAACTTCTTTTATTATTCGCTTTATAAATGATTATCAAGAAAATGTAGAATAAACACAGTTCTTGAATTCGTGTGCGAGGAAAATTCGGAGTCTTTATATATACATTTAATGGATTAATGTCCAAAATACAATTTTCGTATTCAATTAAATGGAAACACGTACCGAATACATCTTCTAGTTTTCACAGACGAACATAGACTAATCACAAGCAGGCGACCGTATCAAGCAAACCGATATGCTTTGAAATTATAATATATAGACAAATATGTGTATATATTTATATACATGCAAAAGCGAAAAAGCAGAGCAATGCGATGTAAAAGCACACACAACAACTAAATAACAAAATATAACCAAAAACAACAACAACAAAAAATAACACAACACACCATCGAGTGTATCCGTGTGCGAATGTTTTTTGATTGTGAGTTTGCTACATCGAAACACGTTTGATTCGACAACAGAGAGATAGAGATGGAGATAGAGAGAAAGAAAGCGAATATACGAAGGCGGCAGCAGACTACCAAGACGACGACGACGACGGCAGCGGCGGCGGCTACAAACACTGTTGCTCGTTATACAGCCATTGTGTTTGTTGTCATCGTTGTCGTCGTTTTCGTCATCGCCATTCCAACGGATGGATATGTATACTCTCACAGCAACAATATTATATACTTTTACACATCGTGTTAGTAACCGTACGTTTGCTCTGTGCAAGTACAGTGGCGAAGGCCACAAATTGTTGAATGTGGGTGCGAACATTGTCAATCGGCTATGAAATTGTTATTTTACTTTCGTCAATGTCTGTAATCGAATAAAAGCGCATGGAAATGCAAACAAAAAGCATTTATTGGTTCAACTGCTGTGACACAAAAACCATCAAACAATGTTTCTTCAATTCAATTTTAAATAATTGCAATTTTCTAAATCATTTTTTTTTTTCACGGCGCATCCACCATGAATGAATGAGTGCACTTCAACACCCTTTCTTAACCGGCGGCAAACAAATTATTTGTATTTATCGTTTTTATAAAAAGATTTGAGAGACACAATGAGAAGAAGAAGGAGAAAAAGAAATACCAACCAGAAAAATGAAACTAATATGTAAATTTTTACGATGCTTATCAAATGTGACCCTGCATGGACATTTGCCATTCATTTGAATTCATTTTCTCATTTGAAATTTTTCCTGCGCTTATATCTATCAGACGATTTTAATATCGCGACATTTATTCATCGAAAATGTATAAAGCAAAACCGAAATGTGATCTATGTCATACACTCACAATCTAACATAATTTATGTACAACATTCAAATTTATTTATGCTCATAACTTTTTCAAACCATTCATTATAAAGTTGTTGGCTTTCTTTTTGCTGGTGTACTTATTAACCCGGTTTTAATTTGTACAAATTCCCATAAACCGTTTTCTATTTAAATTGAAAATATCTAAAAAATAGCAACAATCAAATCATTTGTATATGAAGCCAGAATACTTATGGATTTCCATTTTTCAAGAAGAGACTCACGATTGCTTGAATTTATTTACGTTTTCTTTATACCAAACGTTAAACAACTGTTGTTATCAAACAACATATCAATCGAAAAAAAAGTTTGCACACTAATTAATAAAAAAAAAATAGATTTTTTTTTACAAAACAACACTTTCTTCGATTCTGTGTTAGCAACACATACACAATAAAAACTGTACGCATCCACATCAAGTGCCACTACCAAGAGTGTTTGGCAGTGGATTCAAAGCTTTGTTTCGGCAATCTGGACAATTCCTTCAATATACTTGGATTAGAAGTAATATTGTAGCGAGTGAGATTTGGTGATGCTGACGACGCGATTCGAATATAATCGTGTAATGATTTATTGAACATGCATAATTCCAGCTCAGCAATCATAATGATGATTAGTTTGTCCTGCTGTTTTGTAGATTACGCATAACATTCAACAATATATACTGCTTGATGTATCACCAAGCTTTAAAATCGTTTGAGATTTTTTTTTACCATGCAGTGCAAGCTGTCATTAAAAAAAATTAGCTTCACACCATACCACAGAGAGAAATTATGAAGAAGAATTATAATAAATTTCTTGATTGACTTTTTGAATCTCTTGTGCGCTTTCTGAGAATATTTTTTTTCGACTAATTTCTGAGAATATTTATAGACGAATTTAGATCGCAACATTGTTTTGACATTAAAAACTCGTTCTGTACATTAAGCACCACTGCCAACAATGATTGTATGTGATTTTTGCGCAAATTTTGTATTGGTGCTGTGATAGAACCACCGTCGTCTACCCATCTCCGACAATTGCTTCATCGAGTTGGTGTATAAAAGCAAAAAAAGGCTTTGGAAAAGAGACCCGAAATAATTTCTTATGCTGCTGTTACTGTAGAAGAAATCGTTGATGAATCTTTTACCGTTGTCATACACATAGCGCCACTGTTTTATTCAATGTCTTCTTCAATTGAAAATCATCTGTTTAGATTATTGTCAAAAATTACAATTACAAATGATTTGTCGTAATTTCGCGATGCCTCTCTATTCTTTTGATAAGTAGTGTATTCTATTTGCTCTTTTTTTCTCCTTTGGAGAATGTACGCATCGAGCACAACAAAAAACATAATCAAAGCATCTATTTTTAGAATCTTGATATCATATTTGATGTTATTCCTTCATTGAATTAGCAACCAACGCACTTACGCACCTATATGATGCTACAAAATGTAGCAAATACCAGCCAAAAATAGTGCAAGAGTTTATATTTATTTGGCATTGAACTGTATTCACATATTTTAAGCAATATGTAACATTGGTTGTTGAATTCACGCATATTGAAATTAAAATCACATTAATGCGTTTGTATGGTAAAAAAACGTTGTCCAAATGTTTATCAATCAAGATCTTAAAATGTTATGTACCAATAAAACGTTCAGCAATTTGTATACACCAGAAGGTTTTTTTTATAATTATGTATAAAAAAAAAAACAATAATACTCAGAATAAACAACGATAACAATCGATTGAGTATATAATATGGAGATAAGTCGCATTTCACATCGATATCAGTCTATAACTTGATTGAGTGTAACAGTATATATATATCACTGTTGGCCATTTCGTTCGCAGTCCATTTATTTGATTAGCTGCAAAATATATGGAAACATAGTTATTTCACCGTCTCTTTCAAATGTCGCCAATATTATTCGTTGAATTTTTTTTTCTGTTGCTTCAATTTCTATTTGCCTTTTTTAAAAAAATTTTTGTTTAGCCTATACATTTCTTATGTTGACTGAATTTATGGAAATATTTTTGTCGAATAAAATGGACTACGAGTTGGTTCCATCAATTTCTGCTTGACGCTTTTAGATTATGTTAATTTTCATCATTTATAGTATATAAATCGCATATATATTAAGGTTTAAGAAAATATCTATGGGCTAAATAAAGACAAAACAAACGATTGAAAGCTCGTTATCGACGATTTTTTTTTCTCTCTGCATATTTTGCAATAATAAATGAAAGTATTGCCTATTAGTATTTCTTTGCTATTTTTTGTTCGATTTTATGAGTTGATTTTGTCATTGTTCTCATCACTTCGCTTGCAATAAAAAAATATATATAAAAATACTTTATATTTTCCCGTTTCATTTGTAGCGTGTCCTGTTTGTCTGGTTTTCGTTTTGTGTAAATATTTTACATATTAAATGCACGACTAAAGCACTGCCTACAAAATATCTTGATAAAAATGTGACATCTACTGACATAACGTACACCGGAGCTCCAGATTTTGACTCTTCAACCACTTTTCCACTTTTGAAATCGACGAGGTAGCGAAAGTTATTCAACACCATTTGCTTAGAAAATCTGATACTTAATTTGTAAGCCGAAAACACGTTTTTTTGTTTTATTGCATATCCGCTAGCTTTAAAAGCTTAATTGAATGATGTAAATGATAAAGAAACAGATTGGTATACTTTATCAATTAAATCATATAAATAAATCATTTATTCATATGGTCCTTCGAAATGATGTATATATTTCGTTTCAATCCCCAAATTTTTGTTGACAAAAAAGGGAGATGACAAATACAAGTACAATTGAATTCCAAATTTAAACTGAAAACTGAACAAACATTTAAATGTGAACTTACCCGCCATATCGTTCATCGAGCTCCTTTTGGCGATTCAGTGCTTTTGTATCGACTAAAATAGTGCGTGAGCAATCCGGTTCCGTTTCAATCATTTTCGTTGTGTCAGCTTGCATCAAAACGTCCGAGCTGCTATCATTTAATTCACTGTCTGATGATGGGCTATCAACTGCCAGTAAGGTCAGCGGTGGTTTGTTATCGATTTTTGAAAAACTCAATTCTCGATCAACATCTTTGAATAGTTTGTCGTTACTGTTAATCGTTAAACATATGACGGATGTTGTTGCTTCCGATGTTTGCTTCGACGATTTTGAACTTTGCATTTGTTGTGCCATTCATGCGCTTCGTTTTAACAAAGTTCGGGTGGTATTTGTATCTACCAACCAATTTCAAGGCCAATACATTACTGCAAAACACACAAAAAATAAAATAATTATTATAATTTGATGGCAACAACACAATGGATTCATATAAATTTTGGAAAAAAATCGTTCTTAAACGTTCTTTCAAAAGAGCATTGATTCTTATTGATTTATTTTCTTTCTCAATTTGCTCAACAGATTAGCAGTAAAAATTACTTTTTTTGGATAGTCCGTTTTTTCTCTCTTATTTTTTAATTCAATTATTCAACAATTAAAATAATTTGCGAGAAAATTTTGGACGCATACAAAAACAACTTTATTGAAAAAAAGGCGATGTCATCATTTTAAAGCACAAAAAAAAAGAAGAAGAAGAAGAAAAATTTGTCACTTCATAAGCCGAACTTTGACATTTTACACGGATGTACACGTCTGTGCAATAAACAAATAACATACACTGATTCAAATTGAAACTGTTGAAATAGTAAAATCCGAAACGCAGTTAAAATTATGATTGACATAAAATGTAAATTAATATATGAATCAATGGATGTTACAATATTTCAAACTGTTTTGTTACCAAAAAAAAAAACTTCCAATCGCGTATGAAAGTTGATTTGTATGTTTCAATTTGATACGAAAAAGTTTTTATTTCAAACAATTGCAGTAAATGAAGAACAATGAATGCAATGAAATCGTGCCAAAATAAAAAAAAAGTTCAAATACATCGTTGAAAATGTATTTAAACGCATTCTCGTGAGTTATTCGCATTTCAAATCCAATCTATTCAAAAGATATAGAGAGAAGAAAGAAAAAAACATATTTGTTTATGCAATATTTTTTGCCATGGAATTCAACGTGCAACAAAAAAGTAATGTAATTTGAATGCTTGGATCATGTGCCAAAACATGATGCGATCACCATATTTTCTTTTCTTCTTTCATTTTTCTGTTTTTCCTGTAATAAACACGGTAAGTGGTGAGAGTCACGCTCAATGCATTTCAATGCATAGCTAAAGTTCTAAAAAGTGTTTATGATTACAGATTTTTTTTTGCATTTTTCGTTTTTTCATATCAAAATGTATTATTATTTTTGTTGATGAGTTGATTGAATTCAATATCTTAAATAAGTCGTTTATTTGAAATATTGTTTATTCAATCGTCTTTCGTTGACGATTGCAAGTTAATCTAAGCCACTAGATATTATATTTCAACCATATCAGTGGCATTTCAAAGAAATACAGACAAACCTGACTGTGCCAAATGACTTAACAGGACTTTTATACAGTCACATTGAATGTCGGTGCACCGTTACGAATACGTGCTCTAATCGGACACCGCAAGTCAATTGTCCGCCTTAATATTCTAATGATTGCGTTGTTTAATTCCATGACGGAAAATTGTCGCTTTATTGAAATTATAATGTATCATTGTTTTGAAAAAAAAATAAAAAAAAAATAGTTTGACGTTTGAATTATCAATAAGATTAAAATTACTTTGCTATAAAGTCACGCATATGCACATTCGTACAGGACTTTTTATCATTCTAATTAGGTTTGTTTTAACGATTGCGATTCAGTTTTTGTTCCACACTCATTTGTTGTAGATAATTGTTATTCTAATTGAAAGATAATATTATACCATTTTTAAATGTGGCGTAATGTATATTGTAGTTGGAAATGATACCATTTTTACAAACAAAGAACAAACTGTTATTATTTTTTTTACAGTTATGGTTTTTTTTTTTTCGAAATATAAGACCGCCCAAAAATGCACTCAACAGATAAAATGAGAGAATATTGCCGCGTGATAATAATTTAAAAAAAAAAGAATTCGGCTCGAACATTTCTCTCTAAGAAAACGAAATAATTTTGAAACGCTTCGTCAAAAAATGTGTGTTCACCTTGTAATGACATTGTTTTCTCTCTTGGAATGGAAAATGGTTAATGTTTTTAAAATGCAACAAATTGTTAAACCACATTCAAATGTCATATTTCGAATACAGATCAAGTGCAAGTCATTGACACTGGCTTTGACCTCAATCGTTTTGCTCGATGAATAGACGGTATTAATACATTCACATTTTTTTAAATGGCTATTGCGACGCGCAATCTCTTCCAGTGTCATAATATTAGCAATAAATTTATGATTGTTTTTTTATTATTATTGTCCTTATTGATACGTTTACGGGTAATTTGTATGGCAACAAAGTTTGGTTTTTATTTCTTTAAATTTAAGATTGAATTAAAATTTGAACAGAGTCTGCGAAACGACAAAAAAAATCATGCAAAAAACGTTGATGATGTGATTATATTCAATCGATATTCCATTCATCGTTCGAGAAATTTCATGTTTCAAAAAAAACACACTCACACACATACATACACACACCCATATTCAGATGAAACTCTGATTTATGTGAACCCATGTACCGTATATCACCATGGATCCATGACGATATCAAATCAGATTCCAATCAACCATTTTCAAAGTACCACAAAGAATGAAAACTTGATTTACAAAAAAAAAAAAAAATTTTCCTTCTTTTTGTCCTATCGACTATGGTATCAATATGTGTCTTTACCATCGCAGGCATATTCTCATTTCAATTTAGATAACATACAACTGAACAAGCAAAGAGAAAAAAAAAAACGAAGAAAAGTAACAAGGTTTTCCACATTCCTCCTTGGTACACAAATCAATCAATGATTCACATCCGGATTGTGATGTGTTGTATCTATGGGTAAAATTTAATAAAGCAACAGGTCCGCGACAAAAAGAAGAACAACTGAAATCGATAACTCGAACAAGAAAATAAAAACACTGCCAAAATGTGTTCCCGGCTTATGTGTGCTTGACGAAAAAGTTTACGAAAATTGCAAGCAAAATGTTTTTCATTCGTTAGTTATAAAGAAATGACTTTTGACTACACCTGAATTTTATATTTGTCTAAAACCGTAAATAAAATGAACGAATTCGATATGAGGCAAATTTGAAAATTCGATGCAAATAAATAATACATTCAAAATTTCTTTTATTATGTTGCGTTCGGGGTCAAGTTTGTTGTCTCTAAATACAAGTACCAAATTAGTAAATATGCACATGTTGTTGAGAGAAAAAAAAGAACTCGTTTCAACAACATTAAGTAATTGAATTTGTAAAATGGACTCTCAAACAGTTTCCCGTATCGAAACTAAACTTTAGAAATTATTACATAAAACTTGAAATGATTTTATACGATGATGCAATGGCGTATGACAATCACAGGTGTATGTGTCTGATCGATACAGATAGCGGCAAACTGTCTGTATGTATTCTTACTTAATGATTATTTTCAGTTGTCGACGTTTTTTTCTCTCCTAATTGTTTGCGGTGGATGGTTTATGTGAAATTATTTCGAAAAAAAAAATAAAATATTTGGACGTCATGAATTCAATAGAACATCTGTTTCATATGCATTCCAAAACGGAGAGACAGCAGCAGAACAAAAAAAAAGTTTAATGTGAAAGAATTTGCTGGCAAGGAATCAGCAGCAAACAAAATAGCAAAGCGTAAATGTAACCCGAAGATAAAGAAGCGGCTATTGTTGCTTATCTACGGTATATAAAATGAGTAAAGTACTAAGGAAAGTGTTTTTTTAACAATTGTAAACACCTTTAAATTGTCTCGAAAAGGACATGTATCAATCGATGTAATGCATCACATCAAACACAAAAATAAATCCATTCTTCATGACGAAAATAACATTTCGGGGTAATGCATTTTGTAAATAAATCGCGAAAATGAAGAGGTCGACGGTAGCGTTTACAATCTGTGCATTTTGCTATTGTGAATGTGACGATAAAGAAATAGAGAGAAAATTGTGCAAAAGCAAAAATGAAATCGTCATTTACTGCTCTATGGAAATTTACCGAAAATCAAGACACTCACAATATACACAAGAAAAAAGCAAAAGAACGACAGAAAACAATTGCACATCATTGATGATAACAGACAGCTTTACGACACTTGTTTAATATGCACCAAATCATCATCCGTTCGTTTTTTGCTCATTTTCACACTCTCCGCCTGTCTCACATGCAGCCGCACAATTGCCGCGCAAAAGGTGCCATCAAAACAATATTTATGTATATCTATATCAGACATTACATTGCGATATTTTCAGGCGTTTGATTCAGCTCAGGAAGTCGATGTCAGGCGCTGAAATGACGTGAAAACAATAGATGTGATTGTTACCGCTACAAAAACGCTTACATTGCTATAATCACTATAATAACCATTTCTATTGTTTTCGCTCCATTGCAGCGCCTGACATCAGCTTCCTGAGCTGCCTGAAAGTATCTCAATATAATATCTGATATATATATACATGGACCTATAGCAGAGATAATAAACAAATGCCATGAAAATATCTCCTCTTATATCTACCAAAAACTATACGAATTAAACGTGATCTCACAATCATGATATGTGTGCTATGGCAACTAAAGTCAGGCCAAAAAAACAAAAATGTAATTTTGAAAATTGCAATGAATGTCACAACATTCGAAAGAATGAAGGAGATTTCATTTCAAAAATAAACATTTGCCATCTTATTTACCATTTTCTCACTTAAATCCCATCGAATTGACGCATTGTGATTTGGTTGTTGTTGTTTCTTTTGAGCTAAATTCCAACCGACTTTTACAATGCAATTGAAATTGTAATAAGTTCTTATAGGCCGACCAAATAAAATGTAGAAACCACATAAAGATCTATTTTAAGACTTTTGTTGTTTACCATTTGGAATTGGAGTAAATGAAAGAAGAAAAAGCAAAACACTTATTTGAAAACCGAAAAAGACATGATGCATTTGTGCGTGATGCAGCAAGAAGCCGAACAGCTTAACGAATAGAATCAAAATTGAACGCAATTTACTAGTTACACGGTATAACATGTGATATTTTCTTCCAACACATTTCAAATGATATCAATGAATAGATTTTTGAAATCTCACCGGTCTATGACCCCAGAATCAAACTGATTGCATTCTCACAAGCCGACAACTA